GGCACATGTAATTCTGAGTAAGAAATAGATTTTAAATAATTTATGTTTGGAATGGTACTGTTCAAAGTCAGGTGGGTAATTTAATAGAGAGGAGGATATTCATTGGTTCCTCCATTCACCCTTTCATCCAACACAAGTGGACCTGCCCTGCCTGTTTCTACTTTTAACATTTGTATTCAAAGTTGTACAGAATTATTAAATATGTATGTAGAGTATAAGTAACTTAAGTATTCTTAATGCTGTTCTTAAATATAAAACTATTACAGTAATCTCTTGCCTTTAGTTATTTTTTTACAGTGAGACAGTGGAGTTGGTCTTGGCTGCTGGTGGAGCCATCCTTTTCTGCGGATTCATCATCTATGACACACACTCACTGATGCACAGGCTGTCACCTGAAGAGTATGTATTAGCGGCCATCAACCTCTATTTGGATATCATCAATCTCTTCTTGCACCTGTTGCGGGTTTTGGAAGCAGTTAATAAAAAGTGATTGAAAGCAGTATATAGAAACTGATTCATTAAGTAATAAAGTTTGAGATATAATTGTTAAATACTTTTAAGATCTTATTTGTATGCTGTGTATTATAAAGTATAAATCTCTTTTGACTAGATTTTAATCTTATTTAGAAAGGAAAAAGTATGAAAGATAAATGACAGGGAATTATTCAGTATTACAATAAAATTATATTAAAATGTTAATGAAATTTCATTATAGTATGATGCATTAAAAATTAAAAGTGTGCTTAAGTCGGTTATTTTGACATAAAATTTAACGTTCTCAGTTTTTAAAGTACAGATTTCATTTAAAAATTATAGCAGTATACCAGTGATCAATAAAACTTCAGCAAATTCCTGACTGCATTCATTTGCTAGGGTGCCATAATAAAGTACCACCAATTGTATGGCTTAAACAGAAATTTATTTTCTAAAGTTCTGGAGGTTGGAGGTGTGAGGTCAAGGTGGGGTTGATTTCTTCTGAGGTCTCTCTCTTGCCTGCATGATGGTCATCTCCCTGTGTCTTCATGTGACCTTCTCTCTGTACTTGTCTGTATTCAGATTTCCTCTTCGTGTAAGGATACCAGTCATACTGGACTAGGGCCCACCCTGATGACTTCATTTTACTTTAATTACCTCTTTATAAAGATTCTGTCTCCAAATACATCACATTCTGAGGCACCAGGAATTGGGACTTTGCACTGGTCCTAATGTCTGCATTCACTAAATTTGTTGAAACCTAATGCCCCCTGTGATGCTATGAGGAGGTAGGGCTTTTGGGATGTGCTTAGGTCATGAGGATGGAGATCCCACAAGGGGGATTAGTGCTCTTTTTATAAAAGAGAGCCCACAGACACCCCTTACCCTTTCTGCCACATGAGCTAATGATGAAGACAGTGTATGAACCAGGAAGAGGACCTTTAAACTAGACACTGAATATGCCTGCACCTTGATCTTGGACTTCCCAGCCTCTAGAACTGTGAGAAGTAAATTTTTGTTGTTTATAAACCACCCAGTCTATAGTGTTTTGTTCTAGCTGCCCAAATAGATTAAGACAGACTTCATTATATGAATTGTCAGGGGGTACAACTCAGCCTGTAACACTCACTAAGCATTGTTTCCCAGCTATTAAACTGAAATAAATTAGTAGTATATAGATACAGCCTTTGGTGAGTTTTAGATGTAAATTTGACTCCATCACTAATATCCAGTTGCATAATGCTATACTCAGGTTAACATAGCATCGTAGGTAAGAGAATCTAAATTGGAATCCTTACTTTGTAACCAACTGGTGATTTGGCCTTTGGCACGTTACTTATCCTTACTTCCTTAGGTCTTTTACCTCATCTTTATAATGTGAATAACACCACCTTCTTTATTGATTGTTATAAGGATTAAGTGAGATGAATATATCATACAAACTAAGTGTTTATTAATGTCAGCTGCTGTTATTAATGTTGTTATTGTTGGTCCAAAGGGAGAATGTACTGAATTGTGACTAAAGATAATAAGCAAATGCAGATAATGACATTTAAAAAATGTAAAACAATACCATTTTTTAAAATGTATTTTTCATTGGAGGATAATTGTGCAATGTTGTGTTGGTTTCTGTAGCTCTCTCTATATATCCCCTCCGTCTTGAGCCTCCCTCCCACCCCTGTAGGTCATCGCCGGGCACTGAGCTGAGCTGCCCGTGTTACGCAGCAGCTTCCCACTAGCTCTTTCACACACGGCAGTGTGTGTGTCAGCGCTACTGTCAGTTCATCCCACCCTCTCTTCCCCCGTTGTGTCCACAAGTCCATTCTCTCTGTCTGCATCTCTATTCCCGCCCTGCAGGTAGGTTCAGCAGTACCAGTACCATATAGATTGCATATGTATGTATTAAAATATGATACTTGTTTTTCTCTTTTTGGCTTACTTCACTCTGTAACAATACCATTTTCTTTACTCTGTAACAAGGTATTTATTTTTTTTTTACCCAGCAAATCATTGTTTGGCTCAGGAAATATAGTTTCTTTAACCACTGATGGTAGTTTTATTTTGTAACAACAACCATAGTCATTCATATATAATTGCATCAATGACTTTATATGGCTCCTCCTTTTTTACTATCACCATCAGCACTGCCATGTACATCCCTGTATTTCCCCCAGTGTGCACTGATAGGAGAGTTTGCCTAGGTAGGGAATATACCTAGCAGGGGGATTGTTGGATAAAAGGGCATATGCAGCCTCAGTTTACTACTGTAAGTAAAGGTGAAAATATGCAGACTGCACAAAGAATAAGAAAGTGGCATTAGCAGGACTGTGACAGGCACCTGAATGTACAAAGTACAGCGGGGAAGTAGAAGGAAAATAGGAAAGAGCAGTATCTGAGAACTGTTTTTATTGAATATAATTTGGGGAAAGAAGTGCAGTAGGCCCTTCTGCCCACGTTCATTTCTTTTCTGTAGATCTCACACCTGGCTTTTATCCACTTGATCCACTTCTTGGGATTAGTGGTGTCAGCAGTTGGTTGTGGGTCTTTTTGGAGCAGCTAGGAAGTTAGCTTCTTTCTGCTGTTCTCTTTGTGAAGCTGTGTTTTGAAATTCCTGTCACCTAGTGCCTGGGGAACAAGGAGTTACCATTTGAATCCTTTTAAGTCTTTCTAGTCCTTCCTAAGTGACAGTCAGAGCAGGAGTCCCACGGGTGAGGTCTGAGTGCGGAGGCACCATTAGCTGGTGCTGGTGGTGTAGCATGGCTTTGAGATGGAAACCATTCTGCTTACCAGGTGTTCCAGTGCCTCCCATCCCATAGGCTCTTTCTGGCTCTGTAATGGAGATGAAGCAATGTCCAGTTTGATCCTTAAACATTATCACATCAGGGGTTAAAGTTCCTTAAAGACAGNCCAAGGAGTCAAACCCAGGTCTCTCGCATTGCAGGCGGATTCTTGACCAGCTGAGGGCCAGGGAAGCCCAATGTAATCTAGGATTCAACCTTTTAAAGCACCAGTTGTGCAGAATTATGGCATATATTTAACACCATGACATTTTCATAACAATTTTTAAAAAAAATTTTTTGTGCCAAGTATCTATTCAAGTCTTGGCCTGGTATGTTAAGCAAGGTGCTGTCAATTTGGACTGTCTGAAAGTGAGTTCTAATTTAAAATGCAATGTGAACATTAGTTTTGGGAGAGGTGGCTAAGATCTAATATATAGTTAACTTTATTATAGAAATCCAGTTGCTGTGAAGGAATTTAATCTAAAGAAAGCAAGTTTTTCAAGGCTTTTTGTTTTTAAAATACCATATGTTATGAGCTTTTTCCAGCTTCTGTTCCATAAAAAAAACCTTGCTGTATTCATATGGAGTTTAGTAACTTCCATACGATGCACAGTTTCTTCAAGGGTGCAAATTTAAAGAAAAAAAGGTACCCATTCTTAGAACTGTTATAAGTAACCTGACAGTTTACTAGGCTATGATTATAGAATTTATTTCCTGGTTTTAGGTATATGTTGTAAATCTCTAGAAAATACTGCTTGCAAATAGTTCTGTGTATGTTTGAATTTATTATGTAAAAATTATAAACAGTGGCCATTTGTTGAACGCTTATATCCCCTACGATTATTAGGTTGTATTAGCTTCATTCTATAGATAAGGAAGTCCAGGCTCTGAGATATTATTTATATCACTCACAAGAAGTGTTAGAACCATAAATACCACAAACCTGTACGGTTCCAAAGCCAATACTATCAGAAACACATGTAAAGCAATCATAAAAAGAACTGGTGGTATTTGTGATCAATGTGACCACCACCTACGCCAAGTGTCCTAGGCTAAGCACTGTGTCTGGTATACAGTAAGTGATTAGTCAGGTAAACGTGAGTTGAACTGAATTAGTTTGATCATTTTACCCTTTGAACTTGTATTTGGGATGAAAAGGGGGTTTTTGTTTTTCGCAACAGCTTTGAAGTATAACTGACATACAATGAATTGCTCGTATTTGAAGGATATAGTTTGACAAGTTTTGACGTGTACAACGATGAAGCCATCAGTTGGGATGGGGAAGTTTAAGGGCTGCAAATAAAGATGATCTTAATTTGGCATCTAAAAGAACAGATCACAGTGGTGAAGGTCTTAGGAACGGGGAGGCGCGACCTAAAGGTCGTCTCTGAGCTCCCTACATGACGGGCAAAGTCGTCTGGCGGTTATCCCTCCCTGGGTTATAGTCTCAGGGCTATCCCACTCACGCTCAGGACGCAGGCCTGGCCTGTGTCAAGAACCCTTGACTCGGGTACTCCGTCGCATTCTCCAAAATCTATCTGGGAGGAGCCCAGCTCCCGGTGCGGAATTTACCCAAATATCNCATTCTCCAGAATCTATCTGGGAGGAGCCCAGCTCCCGGTGCGGAATTTACCCAAATATCAGGAAGCGCGTCACCTTCGGGTTCCAGAGGACCCACCTCTCCAGGACATCCGGGACATTTTGGCTCCCGGCAAGCAGCGCGCCACCCGGGAGGGGCGGGCCAGAGCGGAGGGTTGGCCGGAAGGCGGAAGTGCAGAGAATTCCGGTCGGCGTGAGCATCGTGCGTTACTTGAATTCCTGTGTTTTCGCAGGTGAGTTCTTTACCGCATGGCTTTAGTGAGGCGTGGGCCGTGGTACTTGATTCCGCCGCCTATGGAGAGTCTCCTCTCAAATCTTGTCCCTCTCTGGGCAAGCTTGAGCCCTGTCCAGAGAGGCGGGCTTCACCTAGGGTCTCCCGTCGTCTTGGCGGCTCTGGTCGGGCTTCCCAGTTCTCTGTGGGAAGTGGATTCCTCCTTCAGCCCAGCTCAGGTTAACCTCGGCCCTCAGAGTTGTGTTCCGTAACCTTTTTCTTCCTGCCCCTCGCAGGGCTTGAGTTGTACCCAGGAAGACAGTGAGTTTGTGATTGCTGGCGTCAAGAAATGTCAACTGCACCAGTCATCCTTTCAACGAGTGTTTGCTTAAACTTTGTGCACAGCGCTACGCACTGGGGCATCCAGCAGTGAACAAGATCTATTTATACACTGCCTTCGTGGGTAAATAGACCACGGACCACCGGGAATGACAGAAAATAAACAATTTTAGATAGTAACACGTATTAGGAAGGAAAGAAAAGAATGATGTAGAGAATAAAAGGAGGCGAGCTTACAGAGGTCAGAAAAACCCTTTCCGAGATGCTGAAGGATTAGTTCCTAGGCAAAAGAAGGACAAATGTAAAGATACTGAAGTCAACGTCATTTGGACACTTCTCTCTCTTTTTTCAAAATAATGTCTTCATTTATTTAACTGCTTTATTGATGTGTAATTAGCACAACAAACTGCACATAAAGTGTGTAGAATATTTTGAAATATATATACACAGACAAACGCAAATCTGTCGGCACAATTAAGATGATGTTATAAGTCATACCTACAAGTTTCCCTCTAAACTCTTAATAATCTCTGCAATCACTTCCCAACCCTCTTCACATTCCCACACTGTCTGATGGGTAAGATCACCTGTAGGTTTGCGGGAAATTAAGATGCAGTTAAAAGATTTATAAAATATTTTGTAAGTTGTTATATGAATGTAAGGAGACAGTGCTCTTCGTGTTTTGGAGGAAATTAAATTTCTACACCATGTATGGTTAAATTTCTACATCATGTATGGTTAAATTTCTACATCTCGTATGAAAACTATAGGAGCTTTCAGAATTGGCTGACATACAGTACAATGCCAGTGGCCACAGGGAGTTTGGTTTGGCATTTTCGTTATTTAGTGGCTGTCGGATTTGGTGATTTAATTGTTATTTAGTGGCTGTATATGCCTTATTGAGCCTCACATAATTTGCACATTATGCCATCATAATCCATGAACAGAGTGAAGAGTTTACTTTCCAATTGTTCATGTGGTGCAGAGATACCTTTTGACTTGGTTTTCCAAAGATTTGCCTTCTTTTTTTTTTTGATAGTAAATAGTTGCTTTTGAAAATGTAATTTTGTGAACTTTCCAGGTAAAATATGGCTAAAAGTTTACGGAGCAAGTGGAAAAGGAAGATGCGTGCTGAAAAGAGAAAAAAGAATGCCCCAAAGGAGCTCAGCAGACTTAAAAGTATTCTTAAAATAGATGGTGATGTTTTAATGAAAGATGTTCAAGAGATAGCAACTGTGGTGGAACCCAAACATTGTCAAGAGAAAACGCAGTGTGTGGTGAAAGATGAAACAGGTGAGATTGTGTTTTTTAAAAAATTTTTTTAACATTATATCAAACTTCCCTTTGTGACTTTTTCCTTTTCAACCATCTTCCATTCTTTCTCACACTTGCTTCTCTACAAACGTGCCATGCCACATAATTTTTTGTAGCTGCTACTAGAGATTCTATGCTAAGCTAGTTTAAAGCCAGTTCATGTGAGTAAGTATGTTTTGGATTATTCAGAGCCTTTGGTGCTTATACAATAGCCTCGGTGAAGTGAAGTCGCTTAGTCGGGTCCGACGCTTTGCGACCCCATGGACTGTAGCCTACCAGGCTCTCCCGTCTATGGGATTTTCCATGCAACGGTACTGGAGTGGGTTGCCATTTCCTTCTCCAGAGGATCTTCCCAACCCAGGGATTGAACCCAGGTATCGAACCCAGGTCTCCCCACATTGTGCACAGACACTTTACTGTCTGAGCCCCTAGGGAAGCCATTACAATAGCCTAAGTGTCTCAGAAATAGATAGTACTATGGGAATAGACAAGCCTAGACACACGCTTGTTGGAAGGGTACAGAGGAATCAAGAGCTAGGCAGGATAGAAGGAGTTCTCATTTTACCCTTTGCATGCTCTAGGTTCCATTCTGAGAGTCCTCTGTCCTTAGTACCTTAAAGATCTCTTTCCCTGTATTTGATTTTGACAGATTCTGGGTGCTCTGTTTTAATGTAGTCTGAAGTTGGAGGCTGTATATGATGTGTCATTATATAATATGTATATGTATTATACATAATAAATGTACTATATATTGTATATATGTTATATGTATATTATATATGATATATGTATATAATGTCTCTATATAATAGTCATTAGCCCTGGTCTCTCTTTCCTTTATCACCCACCTGTAAACCATCAGCACATCTTGACTATCTCCAAAATGCATTAGGAATCTATCCATTTTTCTTCTGCTTTCACGCTTTTACTTTAATGACAGTTATCTCTTGCCTGAACCACAGTAGTAGCCATTTTACTTCTGTCTCAGCTTTTGCTCATTTCTGACCCGTTTTTGTCACATCACCCAGTATGATCTTTTCAGGATATATATCAATTATGTCACTCCCATGCTTCTAGCACCTCCTTATCTTTCCATGTGCTTACCACAGCCTGCCTGGTCCTACTTAATCTCACTCCAGTACTTCCCTTTGAAAAGGTTCTAACCATAGGCTGAAGTTTGCTTTGTTATTCTCCCCTCAACAGAACATTGAGAAGTCCATGAGGGTAAAGCTTATTTGGACCACTGTATCCCTAGAACCGCACCCAGAATAAACATTCGCTGACCAGTTATTGAATGGCTAATATATATCAGGCACTGTTCTAGGTCCTGAGGCAACAATGATGAATAACAGAAGTGGTCTCCATCCTAATGGGATTCACATCACATTGGAGGAGACAGACAGTAAACTAGACAGATGAACTAATATAATGTCAGGTAGCAGAGTTCACGGAAGACCTGTATACCCTGGTGAGTTCCCAGAGGAGGACATTCTGGACATGTCCTCCACAATAGATAAGGTTGGTGATAGCTGGACCATAGCGTTGCTGTGCTGAGCTTCTTGTTTGAAGACCTGGATGCCTTGAGTGTAACCTGGATAAAGAAGTGTTCAGCCCAGGGTATCAGGTCTGCCCTGTCATCAGAAGCTTCCTGCTTGCTACTGAACCTCTTCCAGGTACACTTCAGTGAAAGTGACCAGTCATTCCTAACAGTTTATTTTCTTCTTAAGGCCTGTCTGTTAGAAGGGTGAGTATACTTATTGACACAACTATTTTAGTTAGCTCAAGAAAGCAACTAATCTGAGAAGTGTTCTTTTAACTCACATGTTTTTAGAACCATATACTTACCCCTAATGGAGTAATTCAAATCCGTATCTCCTAAATGTTTTCTATTTAACTTTTACTTTCGTAAGGACAATGGTAACTGTTCTCTTTTTTAAATTTATTTTTTATTGAAGTATAGTTGAAATTTAGTTTAATTGCAATGTTATGTTAATTACTGCTATATAGCAAAAGTGTTATATATATACATTCTCTTTAACATTCTTTTCCATTGTGGTTTATCACAGGATGTTGAATATAATTCCATATGTTACACAGTAGGACCTTGTTGGTTATCCATTCTATATATTTGTGTTTGTATCTGCTAATCCCAAACTCCCAATCCAGCCCTCTCCCGCTGCCCTCCCCCTTGGCGACCACCAGTTTATTCTCAGTAGCCCTGTTTCTGATTCTGTTTTATAGATAGACTCATTTTTGTCATATTTCAGAGTCCACTCATGAGTGATATCATGTATGTCTTTGTCTGACTTACTTCACTTAGTATGGTAATCTCTGGTTGTATCCATATTGCTGCAGATGGCATTATTTCATTCTTTTTTTATGGCTGAGTAGTTTTCAATTGTATACATGTACCACATCTTCTTTATCCATTCATCTGTTGATGGACATTTCGGTTCTTTCCATGTCTTGGCTGTTGTAAATAGTGCTGCTGCAAACATAGAGGTGCTTGTATCTTTTTGAATTATAGTTTTGTCTGGACATATGCCCAGGGGTGGATTGCTGGATTATATGGTAATTCTATTTTCAGTTTTCTGAGGAACCTCCATACTGTTTTCCACAGTGGCTGCACCAACCTACATTCCTACCAGCAATGTAGGAGGCCTCCCTTTTCTCCACACTCTCTCCATCATTGTTATTTGTAGNTAGAGTCTTAGGATCATTTTATATAATAAACTTCTCAATCTACTCAGTGGCTAGTTCACCAAAGAGTGGGTTATTTTTAAATACTTAAGCTAATAGAAGATGTGAGTTGAAAAGTTCGAAAAAGTTCATGGCCTTTTTTTGCCTTTTGGTGTAATTTTGAACAACAGAGTTTGTGAGGAACAAGAATACATAAATGTTAATTCATGAAATAAGCCACTAATATTGTCTATTTAAACCATGACAATATCAGCATAAATATACCAGCTAAGTTGTTTACTCTTTTCCCCTATCATACACACTTGGTGTTTATTTAATTAAGCAGCGTTGTCAGGTATGTTTTTGCCAGATTTTCTTTAACTTGGAGGTTAGAGGCCAGTGCCAAGTATTTGTTTATGTTTTTTGAGACTGATAATCTCTAGTTTGATTCCCAACGGTAGACAGTAGCTTTTTTTCATCCAGGGCCTTTCAGTGATGTTAGGCTGTTCACTTAACATTTGTCTACTCAAGAAGTTTGTACAGTCAGGATTTTGCATAAAGGTTAACAGAATCAAAATACTATAAAGATGTATTTGAGAAATATGTTCTCAAGAGTCCTATGTCCTCTGACAAGTTGGCTATCAAAAACTGGCAGAGCTTGTGATGGGTGCCTCTAAGGTCAGTGAGTTCCTGAACTGTGTGGTCAGCAGGATTTTTGCTACCAACAAATTTTGGTGGGAGCTGTAGCATTCTGAATTAGGTACAGCGTGTGATCACTTCTTTATTGCTTTTCTCCTAAAGGTTGTAAATTAGGAAGTATAGCGAAGTCCTCTAATCCCTTAAATGATTTAGTTTAGCTTTTTGTCATCTTTTTGACTGATGTCTTTCAGAGAATTCTGTAAAACCACCAGATGGAGCTCAAGCTAAGCACCAAACCTTTTTCTTGAAATGAGATTGAGTGGGCTAAATCACATTAGGGATTTAATGTGACATTTTATTTTTGTTTTTTAAGAAATCAAGTTTAAAATTAAAATATTACCTAAGGACAATCAAAACTGCTTTCATTTATTGATTGCATATCAGGCCTTAGTCATTTAGTCCTAAAATCTTGCAAGTATTAACTCATTTAATCTTCCCAGCAATCCTATGAGCAATAATAGTGACAGCAATAAGAGCAATCCTATTCTCTCTATATACACCAGTGGAAACTGAAGCAGACAGACCATATAGCTGGGACTCAAATTCAGACAGTCAAGCACCAGAGCCTATCCTCTTATAATGCCATTCTGCCTCTTAAGGGTGTGCAACCTCTCGCTAAGAAAAAAAGTAGTTTTAGGATAGAATACTTTTGGTTTGGGTCCATTTAGGGTACTCAAGCTCAGATAAAGAGCAGGTTTCAGTAGAGAAATGATGTACAGACCTCTTCTCAAATCTCAAATCTCCAGGTCAAAACCAGACTGGTATTCCTTTAGTAGCACATCCTTAGAATGGGTTGACCCAATGGTATAGCCCACACTCATTGGTACTCAAGCTACTGATCAGAGAAGAAATGTAAACTGCAGTTGAAGCTGTGAGGTGGAATCAAGTAGTTTTGACTACATCTCTTCCTCTAATGTCATTTTATATGCATTTCCCCATTACTAGTTCACATGCTGCCTAGAATAAATAGGTAGCAGAATATATTTGCTTATGAGGAAATCTGGATATTTTCAAAATTTGGGTCAGTATATCTGGGATATGATTTTTAGGAGTTAGAGAAAGCAGTAATGGGCTATAAATGACTTGTTTTAAATATCTGAAATGTGTGTTAAATATCTGGAGTGTGTTGATGGTGAAGGGTAATGTGTAGGAGTATTGAAGTGAAATGGTAGCCACAAGTAGAAGAGGAAGAATCTAAAGAGACTTCAGGGAATTCCCACATATTTAAATACTATAACTGTGATGCAGATGGTAGGTTGTTGACTAAGCTTACGAGCTGAGAGACTGACTTCTGATGCCACTTGGCAGAGTGATTCACATTCACATTCACATTCATGCCGAGCACAAAATATCATGCTTTTTCTCTGTATTTTCCAGAATAGAAAAACTCCATTGCATTAGGTGCATACCAGTTTAACAAGAAAATGTTTAGGGGGATTGTTGTTTAGTCGCTAAATTATGTCTGGTTCTTTTGAGACCCCATGGACTGTAACCTGCCAAACTCTTCTGTCCGTGAGGGGTATTAGGGAACTGTTAAATCCTCATGCCAATTTAAGGCCACTCTGGTGTTCCTAGGGTCCCATCAGGTAGCAGGAAGGCCGAGGCCAGCTTTGTGCCTGCTTATAAAACCCCCTAAACTTTACACAGT